GTGAGCGTGGAAAACAATACCAGATGTCGTCGTGTTTATGGAAATTCATGTTAGGTCGGATGGCGCGTTAGGGTCGAGATAACGCTTGCAAATCGCATTACATCGAGCCCTACACCAGTCATCCCGTGCACGCTCGTATATGTATGTATGCTCGTATATATACACACAGTATCTGTTATAGGTGTGACCTCACGAGCGCCAGAGCGTTGTAACTAACCTATATTATGTCATCGGCAATACGCGTACAGATTCACGACAATACGCTGAAGAAATAAATGAATATATATAGATAGGGGATTTTGCTAATTTCATCAAATTAGCAACAAATTATCTAGCAATAAGAACGCAAACTATAATTGAAAAAATTGTTTAATCTATAAAAAATTTGTTCATCTATAATTTTATAAATGTAGTAAGTATTTTTAATTTTTTATTCACTTACTTATAAATCTAATAATAAATTTGTACTGAATGTATGGAAAAGATCTAATAACTGATAACGTCTTATACATCTCGTAATTTACATTGCGAGATTGATTTACACATGAATTCATGCCAATTAATGTAGACAATTTGTAGATAGATTATATAGTGTAAAGGCACATATAGGTTGTTCTATAATTTAACTACTCTAGTGTAAAACTACTCTATAAATTCAAATACCTTTACATCCACAATACAAATAATAATTCAAGAGTTATGTATTGCAATAATAAAGTTAGTAAAATCAATAAATGAAAATGTAAATTTAATATAGATACATTTGTCTTTCTTAACAATAAAATTATTCTGAAAAAAAATAAAATTCCTCTCAAGAATCATAATAAATGTAATTAGTAAAATATTATTTTTTTTAACTATTAAAACTATTTTTTTCTTTCTTTTTTCCTTTGTTTAAATTTTTTTTCATTCTGACATTTAAAGTCGAATAGCAAAGTAATTTTATCGTAATGTCTCTGCATTAATAGTTCCATTCGTGTTCGTACAAAATAAGCAACGAAAAGTGAACACCTAAATAGAATACGATCTCGAAGAACAGGTTGCTCACCTTTAAAACGTAAGCCGGCACGAAATGCACTCACGCAAAGTCCAACGATCTCTCTCTCTCTCTCTCTCTCTCTCTCTCTCTCTCTCTCTCTCTCTCTCCATGGGGTGTCTCCTTGAATAATAATCGTAGGTGACGACTGGTGTAACAGTTCTATATATGCGGACAATCTCGACGGGGTTCTATGGACTTGACAACGACTAACCATGATCGCGCGCGCAACCGAGGAAGGTTTACTATGTAAACAGGACGCCGACGCTGACATGGTGCGTCATTAGTGGTCGCGTACAAACGCGATCCTCTCGCCGGATTCCTTTCGGTCTTATTCTCGAGAAAGAGCCCGTTCCGTGGCGCAAACGAGCGCTTATTTTACGTCGGTCCGCAAGAATATGCAGAACAAAGAATGCAAATATACTTGTTTCACAAATACATCAAGAATGTAGACAAAGATGTTTTATCTAAACAAACAAACTTATGACACAAACGCTGCTAAATTTCGTACTAAAATATAACATAATTTTAATAAAGCTACAAGTTTTGTACGAATAACGTAAAATGTTCATTTGTTTTCACACACACAAAAAATGAAAGACATTAATATTCGCAATTTTTTTAAAACTTCAAGTCTATTTTGTTCTATCTTTCTGTTTTAGCAATTCTCTGCGGACAATTCTCATTGAAAGTATCACAAATCTTTTCTCGACACGTATGTAATATTAGGTTCGGTGAACAGATCGATCGGGAAGAGCGTGAGAAAGAGGAAGTTAGAGTGGGGGAGGGTCACAGAGGGTTTATATTGGAATAATTTATCGTTCGAGAGCCTTTATCAGGGACGGCCGAATTGACGTGAAAAGCAGCAACGATTTGCGGCGGTGGTTCGCCAAAGCGACCGCCTCTCCTCGCCTGCGAAATTTCGGCACGAGGGTGGTTACTGCCGGGTGTCCACTCCCTCCCCTTCCTCCCCCTCCCATCGACGTGTACCGACGTTTCGACGAATTTTCGAATTTTCCAACGAAATTCGGGCAAATTCGGCCGAACGAGCACAACGTCGGTCGGCCAAAATTTATGCGTGGTATAAATAGTTTACGGTGCGCTCTCTCTTCCCTCCCTCTCCCTCTCCCTCTTTCCAGCGCGGTTTGAGGGCGCATTTAGGTACGTCGACCGGGGATCGAGGTTCGAGGGGTGATTGGGCGTCGCTGCTGGCGCGTGCGTTTGTGTGCCGGACCCGGGTGGTGAGAGTTAGGTGGATCCAATCGTCAGTTAATTGCTTAGCCGCGCGGCCCGCAATATTGTCGGGATTGGATTATAAAGTTTTCCATTCAGAATTAATTGCACCGCGACACCTGCGCGCTGCGGGAAGAGTCGCCGTAACCTCGAGGGGGGCGGGCCTGCTCACTGCCCGCAATCTTCTCGGATAAGCCAGGAGTTTCCTTGTTCTTATAGTATGGTATTGAAACACACTTCGCCGCGAAGACGAGGAAAAAACGCAACACTCGCGTTAAATTAAACCACCTCTTCAAGAAATTGCATAACGTAGGTACTTGTTTTCGGATACAGTTAGCATTGAATTCTCTCTCTCTCTCTTTCTCTCTCTCTCGTCTCTTAAGTTTGCAGAATTTGCAGAATTCGTGCTCAATGTAGAAATTCTTTATTCATTTTCTTGAAACAAGTTTATAATTTCATTACTAATTGTATTAATTCTGGAAACACTAAGTAATTTTATTTAGATATAACACAGATGTATTCATATCTCGTGCATAGTGAGTTTATCATAAGATACTATATTACATTGATCGATTTGTATTTCTACTATAATTTTCTTTTAGAAGTAAACGTTGCGGATAAAATCGCAGAACATTTACCATGATTATGTTTCCATTCATTTTTCCGTTGGTAAGAAAACTCCGAGGAAGCAAACGTACAAACCGTGTAACGTGTACATTTTTTTATCTGTTTATACGCAACACACAATAAAGGCGTCTCTGCTTGGCGAATGAGAGTTTTTAAACATTCTTTCGCTTTATCCCGCACCCGCTTATACGCAGCCTATCGTGAAATAGATTGAAGTCACCGAGGCGTGCTAGGTACGTACGCAAGCGTATACACTTCTCTACCCATTTGCGTGTGCATACATGCACGCACAAAGCGAGGAATATGCGAGTCGTATCATGGTGGGTCGGTGAGAAAATTGCGCTTGTTCGTTTCGCTCCAGACTGTCTCACCCTTTATCCCCACCCTCTTCCATTCTACATTTTCCCCTATCCACTAATCTTTTTCTACCTGCTCTCCCATCTTTCTTTCTACTTCCCGACATCCCCCCTCCTCTCTCTCTCTCTCTCTCTCTCTCTCTCTCTCTCTCTCTCTCTCTCTCTCTCTCTCTATCTATCTATCTATCTATCTATCTATCTATCTACATGATCTCATCCTATACCCTCCATACAAACTTCACTGATTGTCCCTATCGGTGATCGAAGATATAAATCTAGAATATTTTACGATAATAAGAACGAGAATTAATTCAATGAAAATTCAGAGGAATAAAAAAAAGTTCTATAATTTAAAAATAGATCTAACCATGTCAAAAAATACAGAGATCTAAATTAGATATAATATTTAGAGAACTCAATAATGTCTTCTTGAAAATTTAAAATAGCTGTAGATAATATATCTACAGTTCCAACAAGGACACAGCCTGTTCGCCCTCGTTTAACAAATCACGCGACTGTTCGAGCACGACGACGAATCGTTAATCATTACGCGTGACTTTCACGTTTCCATTTGTCACCAGCAAACATCCGTTTTTCCTTTTTCAATCGTCGAACCGCCTCATCCCCTTCCCTTCGCCCGTCAGCTGGCGATTATTAACTCGTTATTCGTACTGCAATGCCGCACGGTACATTCATACTACTGCTCGCGCGTCGTGTACGAAGAATCGCCAAAATGTTACATCGTAGATTCCGATAAATCCTATTCTCGCTTCGCTACGGATGATTCCATTGTTTTCGCGAACGGAAAATGAATCAGTAGAGAAATACATTGTCATCTCGCTTTGTTTGCGAATATAATGTCAGAATTGCGAGGTTTTATTCTTTCAATAGATCGAGATCCGGAAGTAATTTCGAAAACTTCAGCAATACAAGATGAGATATAAATAAAAAACCTATTCATTCCTTCCTCTACTTTGCTTTACAACACATTCAAAGATTCTAAATTGTTTTAAAAACCGTTATTTTCAAATACATCAAAGATTTGATCTATATTAGATAATAATATAAAAGTATCAAAGTTTTAAAACTATACGTGACAAGTATGCACAGTTAAAGAGTTTAATTAAATATTTTATGGCCAAGACTTATAATTTTGCAATAAAAGATTTTAAAGAATTTTTGATTTGTTAAAATTTTCTGGATTAAATGTACTAGTCAACTGCACTGTTGTTATACATAATTATTTTCTGTAAAAAAATTAATAGTTATATTTTTATAATGTAATATTTTAAGAATTAATGACTTTAATTATAACATTCACAATCTTCTTTAATGCTTTAAAAAATAAGAATCCATAAAGCAGTTAGCAGCGCGGTTACGTCGTTGATATAATACCTCCGTCTTTTAACTGTCGACTAAGGGTACATCACTGTGAGATTACACAGGTTCCCTTAATTACGTAGAAAGACGTTTGCCGGTTTCATTAAACGTGATTATTTATAGATACATTCTGTCCACAAGAATAAACATTTAGAGAAAGAACAAAATCCAATATATTTTTATAGAAGTAAACCTAGAAAAGTAATATGTATAATACTTTATATAATTTATTATAAAAGATATATATATATATATATATATATAATAGTATATATGTTGAAATAAAATACAATAAATATCACCTTTTCATACACAAAAGAAATTTTGTTGAAAACAACATAACAAGCTTGAATAAAGTCTGATCAATGTAGGCTGCAATTTCAGATTTATTATTCTCGCAGATAAACGAAAAACAATATCTCATTTTGATATTGTTGCGAAAAGATTAATTAAGATAGCACTTGTGAGGTTACAGAGTTCTTTTCGGTTGAAAAACTATCGTCGTCATTTTTCTAACAACTCCAAACGAATTAACGCGTCAGATCCTTATTCGCTCGTTGTACTTTCTCAGCTTGAAGTACCGTAAAGACGATCCATCATTTCTCAGCTTTACAGGACGTGAGCACAGGTGTACAGGTACAGCAAAATTCTGTAGAAGCAGGCCACACGTGTCCAGGAAGCGGAAGAGTTTCTCAAGGATCCTCAGGAATCCATCTCGGAAGCCTTGAAGCACTCGTTTCGTTTCTGCCATGCTCAGTGTCGCACAGTCTGCAGATGTATCTAGTGATATAACCATGCAGTTACGTCTGACTCGATGGAAATGTCGATACTTTTATATGCAATATTGAATGCTTCAGTTGCACTTGCATTAGTAAATATCGTAAAAAATAACAAGTTTCGATAAATATTCAAAGTTAATAATATCAATAAATATCATCTGCTTATTAATATTATATAATGTACGTACATATATAATTATTAACCTTCAAATTTTAATTTTTCCCAAGTTTTACATAGCAAATTATATAGGTACGACAAATACTATTTTCGGTGTATCACATACAATATCAAATAAATCTTATTTTCTTCTCAATCTCAAATCCGCTTGTCTGCTTATTTCCGCTTGTCGAATGAACCTGAAGATGGAAATCGCTTCTTGCTACTAGAAGCTGGCTGCGCATCCCTAAACTGCGCAACAAACGCGTCAACTTTTATCCTTCGACGATTCATCGTTAGCAAGAAGTCGAACGTAGTTTCCTGTTGCTCTTCGAGTTCCGCGCGCACATCATTAATCTTCTTTCCCCTTTCGTGCCTCACATGTGCTAAAGGGACATGTGAATCGATCCACATGTTCAATACACTGGCTCGCACACGGTCGATTGACACAGTTAATTCACAATATAGGGAGAGCTGGCAGCAACAACATCAACCAATATCAAGTTATGTGCAACACATATACATATAACACACATATGTGACAAGAGTAACGTATTGTTGCTTAATATTTCGTTGAATTTGCGAGTATTCGTTCTAAAATAAATTTTGTTGTGTTAAGAGTATCGATGTGGCAACATTATCTCCATTATTTGATTGGTGTATGCGATTAATTAATATTTCACTAACTATAATACGTGTACTATCAATGCTAGTTAATTTAATTAACATAGGTAGTATATTGCTTGATAAATTTCAGATATTATGAGCGACTCGCAAATGCTTTGTCTATTATTGACTTTACGATATAGCAAATCATAATTTTGCTTGCGTGACACGCATACGAGAAAGAAAATCTTCGAGCGCTTGCATAATTATTCCATCTATTAGGCCGCATGTTTGGATTATCATGTAAATAACAATTCAGCGAGTTAGGAAATGGTGGACGGACAGGGAAGGAATTGCAGGGCTTTGCTAAAACAGGTTACTTGAGGGGATGGCGAAAGGACTTTTTTATTGCTATGGAAATAAGGCCAACTTCAATCTCACACCGACACACTGCAAACTCGATTTTTACTCCTACACTTCGAGATAGTTTCGCCTTCTCTTTCTATAATTTCAAGGGAATATTTATATATTTTTTAACTACGATTCTCGAATATTTGAAGGGTGATAATTAAATAAATTCGTAATAACGTAAAAAAACTGAAAATATCTTTTTTTAGAATACGACAAATTTCTTACCGATGTTAAATCTACAATAAAATAAAGAATCACATTGTTTTTATGTTTTATCTATTTTTATTGTTTTTGTTGGTTTTTAACCAATGTAGACGTGTATACCTACAAACAAAAAAATACCCAGAAGTGATGGTCAGGTCAAATTCAAAATTTTTATCACACAGTTTATCACAGTACAGTCTGTTCACTAAGGGTTATTCTATTATATGTTATCCACATTAATATATATTCTCTTTTGCTTGCTTACATATATACGTTATATCTAATATAACGCTCCAATTAATATAATTTAGATTAAAAATAAATCCTAGAATATATCTATGCATCCCATTGTGACGGTAGATCTTAGCGAATCGAAGTTTTGAGAAATTTTAGAAGTATCTATATATATTTGAAATGCTAATATGTAAAGTTAGGTAAAACATGTTTAATAATCGTTTAATTGCTGTATCGCATTTCACGGGCGTTTTGCGAGATTCGTCTAGGATCGTGCTTTTATTTCCCTCTTGTGCTTACAGCCGGCAGCAAACGTACAGCATCACCTTAGAAATTAGCAGTGTACAAACTTTTTACAGTTGTAGAAGAAATAGTTTCCCATGTTCTCTCTCTAGTGTGCCTATACACATAAACGTGCGTCCATCTTCTCATTCCTACATGCCCCTAGGTCTTTAGATGGATATATCGAGGAATATGAACTTTCAAACTTTTCGATGATACGCGATGTCTGTCGAATTCGCACAAACTTTAGTCGTCTCTAATGTCATCTATTTCAGTCTACGAAATTACACTAGCACATCCAGCACACTCTATCGTTTGTTCTCTATTTTTCTGCTGTGCGTTTTCTTTTTTACTTATAACTATTCTTCACTTTATTTTCATTTTATTTTATGTATAGCGATAAAATCAGCAATACGATATAATCTAACAAATGAAAACTTGTGTCATTGACGTCGTAATGTAATACTCTTATTTATAATTGTTTAATCTATAATTTAGATATTTATTTTATAATATTGTAGAAAAATTTATAAAATAACACAAATAAAAATTTGAATATATTAATTTTATGTTGGAAAAAAATTAGAAAACACAAATAATTTATTGTAAAACAGTAAAAAAGCAAGAAATGTGACTTTTTTATGACAATTGATGATTACGTAAAATCAAACACTGAAGTAAGATATATAAAATCAAAATTCTTGATAGAATAATTAAATAATAACATAAATTCATAAAAATAAAAAATGCTTGTACGCAATCAAGTTTGAACTAATAAGTAATTGATTAGTGAATAAATCTTAGATCTGTTCAACAAAAGTTTATTTAAATTTCTTATATAAACATAAATTATAAAACTAGGAATATCGATTCCATTGCTACGTATCGCCTTTTCTTGTTTCTCCCTCAGTTAGAGAAGAACATCGTCGAATAAAACACGATTGGGCTTTTCGCACACCGGTGCAGTGCGAGCGAATGCGAGCGAACGGTCGACATTAATGGGGCGGACACGAAATGGGAAAACTCGGTGCAGTGAAATTTTCGCGCGGGTTGTTTGCTACTGACTAGCATCCAACCCCGTCTTTCTTCACCCCCTCGTGTACCGTCATCGCTTGTCACTCTTCTTTTTTCTCGTTTGCTATTTTCGTTACTCCCTGATGCAACCCGATTTTCTAAATCCTTTCGTTGCTCACAAGTGAAACCACTTGCGAGATTGTAATATGTTTTAAGGATATTAATTTTAACTTTTTTTAATACCAAATAACAACAAAAAACAAATTGGAATCGTATGCTGTTGCATATCTGTTGTAGATATTAAAATCTAACTTTCTCAATAAAATAATTACTTAAATAAAAATCTCAATTCTTCTAGTTAGCAAAATATGAATGTGTATTATAAAGGCAATTGAGAAATAGTCAAATAGTTAAATAAATGTAAGCTATAATATCTAACGAGGTTATCAGAAATCGAAAGTGAGTTAAATGAGCGTATATACTTGTATATTCCTAAAAAAACACTTTCTTCTATTCTTTCCAACACATTCCGACTTGACACAGTCCTTTTGTAACGACGATGATTAAACTGAGCAGATATAGCGTGAAATGGCGTGTACAAGTGCGCCGGATACGAAATGTTGTAATAACTCCGACATTAACGACCGCGTGTGTGTACGCAAAGGAGATTGCTCGCGCGATCCTAAGTGGCTGATACAGGCGACTTTAATACGCGTAGAAAGTAATAAACGGGCAAGTAGAGAAAACGAAATAGCGATGGAAGGTGGAGAGGCATAAAACGACCTCTCTCGTACCTTGTACAATAAATGGTCATTTTAATCCCATATAGACGAGTCCGTTATAAGTTCCTTTTTTATTTATTGGTTTGCGGCGTAAACCGCTTTGGACACTGCCATCGTTACATGTTTTACTCTTGTAATTGCACTGATACCTCAAATTTTTTTAATATCTTTCACATATATAAAAAAAGATTAAAACGATTTTATGACATAAAAAAAGTTCAATATAAATTATTCGTATTTACAATTATATCAAAAAAATTGATTTAACAATAAGATAAAAAGACTTATAATTCAAAGAATCAACATGGCATAAAACTTAAAAATTGTCCGTGTAATTAAATTTCATAAAGTTCACATGTCATAGGAAAAAGATAATTTGCACGGATTGCGCTGCCGATGATGCGTAAAAACGAGACAGGATGAGAATTAACGATGGAGAAGATGAATATTGCGGCGAGCGAACGAGACGAGCCATAACACCTCGTATATAAGCATTTAGTCTTTATATACGTAGAGAGTGAATTCAGTAACGAGCATTTTCAACAACGTTCGTCGGGGCTTAAAACATTATCCCTGCTGAGTCCACCCTTTCTCGCCCTAACTCTCTCTCTCAAAAGTCGAAAATCCTGGAGCGAATTGGTACAGCCGGTAGTTCGCAGATTTTAACGTAAAAGAATGACATGCGCTGACAGAAATATTACATTTATAGAACAACTAATTAAAAGATCAAAATCGATTACACGTTGTTTAAAACAACAATTAAAATGACTGCAAATGACAAATTTAATATTATTTTCAGTAATCAAATCAAATAATAAACATAATATTATGCGCATAAATTAAATAGTAGTTTTTCAAAATGTATATAGATATATCAATTAATCTTCTTCCAACGCGAGTATTAAATGCAAATATTACTCGGTATATGCGACATCTATCGATAAAATTTATTGAACAAAATTAACTTATAGATGACGCTGAGCCGAAAACCATCGGTGGTCAATAACGGTCACTAAAGAAATCCATAATTTAGACTTGATAATATTAAAATTCCATATTAGCTACGATAATTTACAATAGTTTTTATGAAAATTGAGATAGAATATTAAAAAAAAAACTAAAAGAAAGAAAATGAGCGCAATATCCTCAAAGAAGCAAAGAAAAGGGTATTGCGAAATGAAACTTATCGCGAGAATGGTCGTGCGTTGAAGCCTGTAATACGCTTAAAATATATATTGCGTGCTAAAAGGTTAGACCAGGTTGTAAACTATACAACTGTATATGGTGGACGTAGATTGGAATCTAGTCACACCCAGCGTCCATCCTATTCTATCTGTCGCGCACCCTTCGCGCCACCCCTTTGATTCTATCCCTGCCGATACAGGATGTACATTGTGTATACACTTCATACGATATTACGATTCGATCAGATCGCCGATTGGCCTACTGCTGGGATTCAATTGTCCGCCAGAAGCTGATATGAAGCGTTCTCAAACGCGAGTTTCTCCGAGCACCAAGCATCATTACACTTGATTCACGCTGTTCACGCTACATACTACTCTATATTGCTTCGCACGTGACATGTTTAGACAAGATTCTTTTAAACAAAATATTCTTCACCGAAATAAGCCAAAAATTTAAAAAAAATCAATAAAGCCTGATAAATTAAAAATTCTCCATTCTAATATAAAATACAACACTTTACATTGTGTGCATGAGTACCGAGGTAAAATTATGTGTAGTTGCATACAATTTTTTAGAATCAAACTAAAACTACACCCGTTGTGACCGATTCAATATTTTTCA